ACATGGTTAAAGGTGTGACTGACTGTGTTACGTTACTGTAGATATGAAGATAATGACAAAAATAAAAATATTTTGGCAGCCATCTTGAAATCAAATATGCCGGCCATCTGACATAATTTCTGATGATTGCATAATACTCCCTGATATTGAAAACATAGGTAAAGACCTTTGAATGACAGTGCTAGGTGCTGTAGATATGAAGATTATTGATAAAAATCCAATATTTTGGCGGCCATTTTGAATTTCAAGATGGCGGCCACTAAGCGGCTTATTTTTTGGGGTCTATCTTTTTTAATGATCCTTAGGTGTCATAGTATCACCTACTCGATGGTAAACAGGTGACGTGCTTAACCCTAACGCCTATCGTCGCAAACGCCTATTCAAAACGGTAATCTGCTGACGTGCCTAACCCTAGAGACGCAAAAGCCTTCAATGGTAAATGGTAAACTGCTGGCGTGCTTAACCCTAAAGCCTATCAACGCAAGCGTTGTATAGTCAAAAATGCAGTTAAATCATTGTTGCAGCTAGTAACATGCTTTTAATTGCTATATTTTGTGAAATTGGTGCTATTTAATTGATATTATAAGCTAGATGACCAGCTACCATGCTTTTAAACACTACCGTATTTAATGCCTTTTAATGCTAAACCCAGCAATAGCAGTTGATATTATCACTATGATTAAACAGCAACTACACCACATACAATATAGTTGATGTGCTACAGAAAAGATATTTGCATATTCTGTAAAATGGGTGCTATATGACTGCTATTATAAGCTTAAAAGCTGTAGCTAATGACCAGCTAGATGATTTTAAATGATATTTAATGCTAAGACAATCCTGAGCTTTAATGGCCAGTTCTGTATCGAGTTTAACGCTATACCGAGTTTAAGTGGCGGCCGTCAGATAATAAGTGGCGGTCGCCAGATAATTAAGTGGCAGCCGCCAGATAATAAGTGGCGGCCGTCAGATAATTATGTGGCGGCCGCCAGATAATAAGTGGCGGCCGCCAAATAATTAAGTTGCGGCCGCCAGATAATTAAGTGGCGGCCGCCAGATAATTATGTGGCGGCCGCCAGATAATTATGTAGCTGCCGTCAGATAACTATGTGGCGGCCGCCAGATAATAAGTGGCGGCCGCCAGATAATAAGTGGCCGACCGCCAGATAATAAGTGGCGACCGCCAGATAAATATGTGGCGGCCGCCACTTAACGGTTTTTAAATTTTAATTCACTGGTGGCACTAACGGGCTTCCGTAAAATTTAACACAGACAAAGTAAGTACTGTAAATGCTTAAGCACAAGGAATGAATATGATATCTAGTGTTCCCTGAGCAGTCGCTCTACTGTACCTATTCACTACCCATTCACTATTCAATCTTCGACCAGTGAATTTGCATATCAATATAAAAGCATTAAACGCAAGGAAATTGGAATTTCCCATGTATCACACCCATTTTGGATCATCATCATTTGTTCGACACCATCTTCAAATTGAACACAGACAAAGTAAGTAAATGCTTAAGCCTACAAGAAACCATTCTCAGGTAGCAAGCAAACATGGGCCCCATATAGGAAATGCATGGGCCAAAATGTGCTTGGGTTGAATCGGGGTTGAAATGTAAGGGGACCCTATAAATTGGCCTATATGGGAAAGAGCTGCCTGTGCACCCTAAATCCATATTGGTCCCATAAAGTTGGCCCAAATCAATGTATGAGCCCTTTAAAGGATATATTTGGGCCCCTTTTTGTATTATGGGTTTGTTTGGGACCAATGTGGGTTTTGTCCAAAATAATTTACGGGCCCATGCAGGGCTATATCTGGTTTTTTCAGGGCTGAATAGGAATCGAAATGTAAGGGCTACTAAACTTTGTTGGGTGTTGTGTTTTTCACTGTCAACTGGTCTTTAGCTGATTCCAGTTCCAACTTGTCTTCAGCTGCATGTCCCAGTTCCATTTGGTCTTCAATTGGTCTTGGTTCTTATCTGGTCTTTAATTGGTCGCAGCTCCTTGTAAAATAACAATGGCTTTAATATACTCCTGTAGACTTACACAATACACTAAGTTTAAGATATACAAACCATAATTTCTTTAATTAAAAAACATCACCTGTACTTCATGGGGTGGGACTTCCATACCCCTTCGCATTTCATTTAGCTTAAGTCACGCTTACAGTCCTGTTTATATCAGCATTTTTGTCTATAATTATAAGCCTATTATTTTAAAGCATCACTAGAATTTATAATATAGAACCATATTCAAGAATCGTTTGCGTCAGGCGTGCATATAAACCAACATCCTTTGTGTATTGAAGTAGCATCTCTCCATAACCATGCATTTTTTCTCCGATGACAAGGTAAATGAAGAATCTTACTAAAATTTAAGATAGTATGAATTCTGCAATTGAACAAGTCAAGTTCGAAATATTGAATCACAATGGCTTGTTGGTATTAACAAAAAGCTATTTTTTATTTAATTGTCTTATTTAAGGTGATTTTGCTGTCTGTGTCTTTAGGCAAAGAATGAATTAGTAAATGAACAGTACATAAAACGTTCCTACTCAAATTTAAAATCTGTTATTTCTCTTCAATGTACTACATAACGTACTGTAGCTAAGATAATAGACTAGCAGTTTTTTAATTTATCAAATGTGAATAATCAGTTCCAATCGAATCCGAAAGTTCCACTGATTAATCTCAGATAAGAAAGTATAATACATACTCCAAGTATTGAAATACACGCCATCGTGTTGGGATTCAATCAATAAATCAGTTCCAATCCTGTTTTTGTTTTTTTGTTTTTGTTTTTAGTTTTCAAAACAGTTTAAAATTAAATGTTGTGCAGACAGTACATTACGGCGTTACAGTGATATCCATTATAGGCCGGCCATTACATACACATTATATATTATAGACCCCCTTGCAATGTTTACATTGGACCTGGCTGAAACGCTGACCGCGCCCTAACTGGAGGCAGAAAAGCTATCTCAATACACTGTCACTGGTTATATTTATTTTTGTTGTGCCAAAAATATGAAAGCTACATGGATGAAAATCACATATGACATATTTACATATATTAGCAATCGACAACAAAAATAAAAAGTGAAGAAACTTTATTTTTTCTATTTTTATTCAATTTTTAAACTCATCTCATCGGATGTGGCCATGTGCGAGCGCATAATAGTATTCATTTTATTTGCTTTTAAGTAGCCTATGTTGTTACTTAGTAGAAAGACAACAAAACATAAATTTAAAAAAAAAAGTATGATAAACCGATCCTGACGAACTTACAATGATAATTAGGCCTAGTTATATTAAATTAGCGTTTTCGCAACTCCATTGGCGCTCCATATATTTGTTGAAAAAGAAAACGCGACCGAAATGAAGCGCGACCGAAGTTAGGCGCGACCGAAATGATCTGTATTATAAACAAGGTGCAAGAGCTCAGATTTGTGGTTTCTTTGGCTACTGGCTTACAGCTTATCCTTTGTTAATGTCAAATTTACGGAAAGTTATGGAGTGCATTTCCCTTGTATTTTGAAATTGTATATGTAGAGCTTGTGTATAAACAATTGATGAACATTTACTATAGTAGAGCGGCTAAGGTTGAATTTCAGGTAGAATCGTGCACTTCTGGAAGAAAGCATGAAACTTCCCACAGTGATACTATGACACCTAAAGATCATTAAACAAAATAGACCCCAAAAATAACGCCTCCTAATGGCCACCATCTTGAAATCTAAATTATATGCCCGGCCGCCAAAATATTTGATATTAGCCAATATATTCATATCTACAGCACATGTCATTACCCATGTTTTCAATATCAGGGAGTGTCATGCAATCATCAGAAATTATGTCAGATGGCGCCGCCATATTAGATTTCAAGATGGCCGACAGATTAATTATATTTTTGTCAATATTCATATCTACAGTACCTAGCACTGTCAATCAAAGACCGTTGAGCATGTTTTCGATATCAGAGACTACCATGCAGCCATCAGAAATTATGTCAGAAGACCACCATATTAAATTTCAAAATGGCCGCCATCTTGAAATTTAATATGGCCGCCAAAATAATTAATTTTAGCCTATGTATTCATATTTACAGCACATATCACTCCAACTGAAGGATCAATACCCATGTTTTCAATATCAGGGAGTGGCATATGCAATCATCAGAAATTATGTCAGATGGCGCCGCCATATTGGATTTCAAGATGGCCGGCAAATTATTGTTATTTTTGTCAATATCTTATCTACAGCACTTCGCACTGTCAATCAAACTCCGTTACCCATGTTTTCGATATCAAGGACTATCATGCAGCCATCAGAAATTATGTCAGAATGCCACCATTGAATTTAAAGATTGCTGCCATACTATTTCAAGATGGCCGCCAAGTTAATTATTGATAATGTTGTAAATATCGTCATATCTACAACACCTAGCACTGTCAAAGATCTCTACTCGTGTTTTCGATATTCGGGAGTATCATGCAGATATCAGAAATTATGTCAGAATGCCACCATAATGAATTTCAAGATGGCTGCCATATAGGATATCAAGATGGCAGCCAATTTTTTTTTTTCATATTTACATATGTAAACTACCAGCACTGTGAATCAAGATTGTGTATATGTATAATTAGGGATATCATGCAATCATCAAACATCTCATAATCATAGTGAGACCTGCCTATGGCAGTGAAGTAACACCATTTACAAAGAAGTTCGACAACTGCCACGTTGGATTTCAGGATGATTGCCAATTAAGAAAGGTACATGAAAGAAATGGAAATTTAAAAAAAATAATAGAAAACTGTTAAGGAATAACAAATTGGTAATCAATCGAAAGTAATGAAAATTAAAAAAATAAGTAAATAGGCCTAACTGCTGTGTATGGTATGAGAGCAAGTACAGAGGGAGAGAGATAGATGCAGATATTAAACATTTATAAAGCTAGTTTTAGCATGAATGAAATTACATAAACATAAATCAAATATTCAAATTAATGGTGTGAAGACACTAATATCGAATAGACCTCATGTCTATGAGATGGCTAATTATCATTTTCAAATGATATATACACATATGTAAATATTGAAAGGGAAAGAAACGGAAAAAAAATTAAGGAAGGAAAAGAAAGAACGGAAAGGAAAAACTGGAAAGGGAAAAGAATTAAAAAAGAATAGAAAATGAATATAATGGAGAAAGTGAAAAGAAATAAAAGAAACATCAAGAAAAATTAAGAAAAGTATATAGGCCTAGATAACTTTAGCATAAATGAAATTATGTAGATAAATTAAATACCACATTCAAGTATGGTATGCATAGTATCACTGTGGGAAGTTTCATGCTTTCTTCCAAAAGTGCACGGTTTTTCTCCTTAGCCGCTCTACTCTGTCTCTTATACACATCTTATATATATGTGTGTATGTGTGTGTGTGTGTTGTGTGTGTATGTATGTATGTATGTATATATATATATATATATGTATATATAATTAAGTTTTATGTGTAGCACTTTGTTTATATAATTAAATAATGGTGAAAACAGAGCTTGAATAAATTAAAAGTGATGCGAGTATCGTATCTGGAATAGCCTATCAAACAAAAACAAAAAAGTTTCTTATCAACTGTTTGAAAATGTGCCCCTGGCGGCGGGAATTAAAATGTGATTTCTTGCTGTCGAGGTGAGTGCCATACATATTTACCACTAGGGGCCCCTGGTATATCGCAGATACAACCCAATCAGGACACTTCTTCAAACAAATGATATACTGTTGTCAGAGAATACTCTAAAAGTCATACCTGTATTATAATGAAGTAACATATAGAATAAATGTTTCTGCGTAGCATTGTGGTATAACTGATCAAATAATGACAGAAACAGTGCTAAATTAACAATGATGTAAAGATCATATTAGGCATAACCTATCAAAGAAAAAGTTCTTTATCAACTGTATGAAAAAGACAAAAGTGCCCCCAGTGAAAAATTAAACCATGCATCAGTTGTTTGAAAATGTGTCCTAGTTGGATTTATCAGGAAACGAATATTTCGTATATATACTGTATTCCTTTTATTCGCCATTGCTATATTTGTTACTAATTATGAATAGGCAGTATTATGTGCCTAAAGGCACGGTATCTTATTGTCTCATTGTTACAAATATTGCTTTATATATGCATGGAGTAAAGAATATTCTTTCTCCATGATGTATGACATCTTTTGTGTAATTTACAATGGCTATAATACTTAGAGGCTTACATATTGGCAATAAAGTTCACCTTCATTGCAAGTTGTATGTGCTGGACTGACTCAATTGGGGGTTTGATTCATTTCTTTCGCTTTCGATAGTATTATGTGCCTAAAGGCACGGCATCTTATTGTCTCATTGTTACAAATATTGCTTTATATAATGCATGGAGTAAAGAATATTCTTTACTCCATGATGTATGACATCTTTTTTTGTAATTTACAACGGCTATAATACTTAGGGGCCTACATGCTGGCAATAAAGTTCACCTTCATTGCAAGTTGTATGTACTGGACTGACACAATTGGGGGTTTGATTCATTTCTTTCGCTTTCGATTTGCT